GCATTTCATTTTCCAGTATATTAAATAGGGGTGAAAAAGGCGAAGATTCAGTACATTCGTAATGCTATATTCTGCCTTAAAACCTCCCTGTGACCTAACCCCTTCAATTCTGCTCCAGGAACAGCATCTCAGCCTGATGTTGGCGTAAAAAGTGACATGTTGGCTCCATGCACCCTTCAAACCCTACACCTTGTGAGCTGATCCTGAATCAGGTGCTCTGAGTGAACAGTAACCAGAGCTGCACGAAGCCCAGTCATTCATCTTGCCTTCGAGACAGCCGCCATCTCAGCGGTCACGGGATGAATTTCACAGATAAAGAGCGACCGACTGTTTCTCCATGCTTTCAAGTAGACAGAAAAGCACAGGAAGGCTTGCATGAGAAAAAGATGAACAATGAGGCATCTCAATGCAAGCTTGTTAAAATTTGGCAAGAAGAGAACTGAGATGTGGCGGAAAACACGTTTTGATGGGATGAACGAGAAATGCTACTCTTCACGTTAGGGGTTTTATATTCTAGTATGAGTGAAGCTTCTTCATAAAGATAGGGGCCTGCCATCTATGAGGCTTATATGTCATCATTTGGCTCTTGCTTTTTAAACAAATCCAGTTACTTTCAATGCTATCTTGAACTTTGAACCTTTCAGACAGGACAGCAGGCCGTTTCTGAGGCAGGAGAAAAGCTAATCGATCAGTTCAGATATGTTACGCGATTAGCATAATGTCGACATGCTGCCTTGCTGTTGTCCGAGATACGATTTAGCCATCGACGGATTGGTCATTCATTACAGGAAAGGCCAGCGGTCGACTCTAAACATGAGTGACACTGCAAGTAGCAATTAGGGCTATTGATCGTCATGTTATTGAGTAAAGGGACACATCGGATCAGCTCTCTTGCTTATCAGCCGAACGTAGTAGGACCCAGGCCAATATGGAGTGTAACAAAACACGAAATGTGATATTTCATCACTAAGATACACATCACTAGACAAGCAGAACTGAATAAAGTCGCTGTTGGTTTGTAAATGCACAATACCCGTAACAAACTGTTTTTGTTTGTCAAACCATTTTCAATTTCGGAAGCACCGTTAAATTCATTGTGAATGGAAAAATGCACAGTAAATCAAAAACGTGGAATGTCGGTGGTGAGACTAGAGTTGGGCCGGACGTTATGTACAGTATGGTTAGGCAGCTTAGTGAATTAATTGCTTAGAAATTAAAAATAAATTATTATAAAATAGATTTCTGTACATTTTACATATATATAGCAATCATCTCAATGTCTTTTTGCCATTTCAAATACACAGAGAAAGAAAGAAAACAACGAGTCCTCCATTCACGGTTAATCCCAACCAAAGTTATGCCCAGTCATCTGGTAGAACTTCATGTTGAAAGGTCTGTAGAAGTCTCTAAGTCGCTGCACGACCTCAGGGTCAATGTTTGGATGGGTCCGCCCTTTGGTTTTACCCAGGCAATGGGGCTTGCTGCTGCCCTCGGCCTTTTTGAGACAAGGGAAGCCCTTGGTCTGGTTGAAGTAGAAGTGTTTGTCTGTGATGATCCTCTTGAGCCCCAAGAAGTCCTGCACACGGCCCAGCTCTCCGGCCGGGTCGCTGATCAGCCGCTCTCCGCTCACGAACAGGATCTGGCTCATGGGGAAGAACTGCAGCCAGTTGTCCAGGTGTTTGGCGTAGATGCCGATCTGAATGGCGCTCCACGAGGTGTCGATCAACCCTGTAGTCCTGTTTTTGAACGTCAGGCTCTCAAAAGTAGGAATGTCAGGCTTCTTGGACAGTGTCTGCGTGTAGTCAGAGATGGCTCGAGTGACGGGGTCCCGGACCACCACGATCACCTTGGTGTCGCGGGACATGGCGTAGATCCGGGCCGGAGCCTCGTGGGTCACAAAGTAGCTTGGTGTTTTCTCCATGGTGATCTGGCCCTCCAGGGTTTTAGGCATTAGGTCCCTATGGAGAAAGAGAGAGAAAGGAAAGGGGGTTAAGATGGAGGTCTAATGAAAACAAAACTTTGCATAATGCAATCAAACAGATGGAGCATGTGGCACTCCTCAATCAATGAGCCGATTCAAGGCCATGATTCTGGGTCAAATGTGATTAGCATCGGTTGCTAAACAAAACATGCATTCAAACGTCACAGATGCATAAACCATTTTAAACGGCATGGCTGCTACTTAATAGTAAGGGCTTTCTAATGTAATACAGAAGCGTTATTTGCTCCTTTGTTTCCTAAATATCATGCCTAGATCAACCAATATTGCATTTTTATTGGTCTGTTCATACAGACTACTACATAAAAACATAATATGCATTATGAAAATTGAGTATTGGCTATTAGAATTATTAGTATTATAATCACTGTTATTTATGTCTATTAATGTAGAGTTTGTTTTAGAAGGCCCAATATTCAAGAATTAATGTTGAAAAATATGTATATTTATTTATTGTAATGTCCACATATATATCTGATTCTGAATCTGATTCCAATAGTGTTCCAAAGTATGACCTCAACAACGGTCTTACACTAGTGACCATCCAGATCTAAACAAAGACTTATGCTTCAAAAAGGCTGACACAAATGACCACACTTAGCAAAAGCCTTCAAAACATATGTGCATTCCACATGAAAGTTGTTTAGCCTTGTTTAAAGACAGCGATCTGCTTTTAAGGCAGTTACAGGATGAAATGGATAGGGTATGTGCAGGACTGCAATCAAGGGACATTTTTTAAATGAAAAGGGAACATGCATGTTAATGCCAAACAGGCTTGGGTTTCACAACCCCGTCCAATCAGGAAGAGTGGATTATAGTGGAAGAGGTGATAACAGAAGACTTTGATGGACACATGGGGGTATGGATCCTATTCCATTGGCACACGTGCTCAGAAACTTTGACGTGTCAAAAAGTGCAAAAACACATCTGAAGAAAGTTTAGCTTCTGCTGACTGAAAATTTCAAGGCATAGAATATGATATGTAATGAGAAATCAACCAAAGAAAATAACAGAACACCAAATTTAAGGGATGGAGATAAGTAAAGATAACAAAGTGTGAATTTCAGCCACGCTCAGACGTCAACAGACCTAGAATGAGCCTCCTTGGGGTATCAGTCTGCAAACAGATAAAGCTCTTGTTGGCATGTTGTCTCTGGAGTATCGAGCCTTGTTGTTAGCACCCGGGCTAATTTACTGCCGCATTGTGAAGTGCGCTGTCAGCATCTGGTGTAATCCTGCTTTGCGTATTTACACCCTGCGGAAATGAGGCTACGAGCAATTCAAAAGTCTGCAAACAATTTGTTGAAGGATATCACACACACTTCAGTGGATCAAGCCTCCTTGGGGTATCAGTCTGCAAACAGATAAAGCTCTTGTTGGCCTGTTGTCTCTGGAGTATCGAGCCTTGTTGTTAGCACCAGGGCTAATTTACTGCCGCATTGTGAAGTGCGCTGTCAGCATCTGGTGTAATCCTGCTTTGCGTATTTACACCCTGCGGAAATGAGGCTACGAGCAATTCAAAAGTCTGCAAACAATTTGTTGAAGGATATCACACACACTTCAGTGGATCAGTTTATTCTATCTCTCCAAACAGTCTTCAGTAAAAGCCTGACTATT